CACTTCGCGGCTATAGTCAGCAAAGCAAGCTCGAATCATGGCACGTCACAGATGCGCAAAGCTGGGCACGGCGGAGCAGGCGATCTCGACACCAGATCAGAGGCATTGCAAAACGAAGGCAGTCAAAGCGAGATGCGGCCGAGGAAAGCTGCTCTCCCCAGAGCAGCACGGCTCAGTCCATAAATGGGTGCGTGCAGCAGTTGTGTATTTAATGGACTTCGGCCCCTCCTGCCACCGTGCCTGGGCTGTGGGTCAGAGTTCTCAGGGATGCTTCTTCGGGTCCTCGGAGCGCTCTCGGGGGCCTCTTGGGGGCAGCTTCTGGGCCTCTTGGGGGCCTCTTGGGGCTTCCTTTGGGTCTCTTGGGGGCCTCTTGGTTGTCTCTTGGGGGCTCTTGGGGCCTTCTGGCGGTCCCCATCTGGGCCCCCTTGGGGCTGTCTTTGGGCCATCCTGGGCCGTCTTGGGCGCCTCTTGAGCCGTCTTGGAGCTCTTGGGGCTCTCTTGGCGCCCTTTGGGGCCGTCTTGGGGCGATCGTGGGGGGCTCGTGGGCCGCCTTGGAGCGCGGGGAAGCCGAAAGGCGCGAGCGCGGAAATCCTGCAAAGACCGATGGACAATGGGGCCGTCTCGGGGTGGAGAGCTCTTCGGCCGTCTTGGAGGCTTCCTGCGCCCTCCTGGGGCCTGTTGGGTCCACCTGCGCCTGGTTTCGGGCCCTGCTGGACCGGGCCACCGGCCCAGAGGCCCCCGCGACACGCCCCAGGAACGCCCAGGAGGGCCTCGGCAGCGCCTGGGAAACCGGGGAAACCTTTGAAGAACCTTTGAACCTTGGAACCTCTCAGGGCTGCACTTAGTGGGCCCTGGAAACGACAGGGCCGTTTTTTTACCGGATCCGTTTTGCCGTTTTTGTTGCCGGTTCCGACGCTGTTTTTTTAGCGGTTCCGTCGCCGTTCTTTTACGGGTTCCCGTTCCGGTTCCAATTTTGGGGCCGTTTTTGTTGGCGTTTCTGGTCGCCGTTTTTTTGCCGTTCCCATTTTCAAGGGACCTTTTTTCGGAAACGGTGAAAAAACGGCCTTGCCATTTCCGGGGCCCACTAAGGCTATGGGCCTTTGAAGAACCTTTGAACCTTGGAACCTCGCAGGGCTGCAGAAGCTTTGAGGCACTCCACTACGTGCTGAAGGCACGGTGCCAGATACACTCAGAGCGACGCAGATCAAAGTCATAGCGGGAGAGCGTCTGGGGACTTTGCAGCGACAGACAGGGGGTTGACCCAAGGCGGCGCATACAAACATCATTGCAACGCAAGGCGCACCGAAGCAGGGCAAAGCCAAGCCCCTAGGCGCGAGCGGCAGATGCAACAGCCGCGTGTTTTCACACGCCCTGTTGCTCGGTTCTGCGACCACGTGCGAACCCTGCTTCTTCTTCTTCTTCTTATTATTATTATTCTTCTTCTTCTTCTTCTTCCTCTTTTTCTTCTTCGGCTCCACTCGACGCTGAAGCATCGAGGATCGGACGCCCCCGCTGGTCGCGGGGGTCCATTTTGGCTGCAGACCTGCTTCGAATTCTGACCCCCCGCCAGCGCTTGCGAGGTCTGGCACCCGGCGATCTGCTCTTGTCAAATCTGCGGCCCCCGTGCGGAGGGGGGCCCGACCGCTCCTCCAGGGCTATTCTCCCCTCCCGAAGGCCGTTTTTGACAGCCGTCGTCGTCGTCGCCGTTTGACGAGCGAACAACACGCACCCATACCCACCATAGGGGGGATGGAGGGGGCTGTGGGTGCGTGTTGTCGGATGGGGGTCCCCGTTCGAACGGGAGCCTCCCCCAGGGCCCGACAACCCGCACCCTAGCCAGTCCTCCTCCCTCCGACCCTCCCATGGGTATGGGTGTGTGTGTGTGTTGTTCGTTCGTCATCGTTGTCGTCGTTCGTCATCTCCTCGTCGTTTGTCGTTTGCTGTTGTCGTTTGTCGTTTGTCGTCGTCGCCGTCGGCGTCGTCGTTCGTCGTCGTCGTCGTTTGTCGTCGTCTGTCGTCTGTCGTCTGTCGCTTGTCGTCGTCGTCGTTTGTCGTCGTCTGTCGTCTGTGGTCTGTCGTCTGTCGTTTGTCGTCGTCGTCGTCGTCGTCGTCGTCGTCGTCGCCGTCGTCGCCTGACGGCCAGGGCGCCGGGCTCGCGAGGGGGGGCCCGTCGGGGCCCCCGAGGGGCGGCCCCCCCCCGGGCCCCCGGGGGGCGGGGGAGCCCGCCCGTGGCCGAGGTTGCGCCTGGAGTCGGGCCCGTGCCTTCTGGCAGGGGCGCCCCGTCGAGGGCGCGAAGGTATGATTCGCGCTTTTGCGCCTCTCGCGCCTCGCGCTCTTCGAGGAGGCGAGGAGGAGCGAAGGAGGAGGAGGAGGAGGAGGAGGAGGAGGAGGAGGAAGAGGACGAGGGGGAGGAGGAGGGGAGGGGGAGGAGGAGGGGAGGAGGAGGAGGAGGAGGAGGAGGAGGAGGGAGGAGGAGGAGGAGGAGGAGGAGGAGGAGGAGGAGGAGGAGGAGGAGGGGAGGAGGAGGAGGAGGGCCTCCTCAGCCTCCGAATTCTCCCCTGGGAGGCGGCGCGAGGGCGCGAGGTTGTTCGCGCACTGCGCGCTTCGCGCAGCGCGCAGCGCGAAGTTGGGAGCCCTTGCTCTACAGGAGTAATGCTCAAAAGCCGAAGATGTTTTTAAGGTTCTATAAAAAAACAGAACACTAAAAAACGTCGGACATCTGCTTATAGGGGGACATGCCCGACCCAAGGCTCGCCGTGGCCTGAAGAAGGAACCCTTCTCGTTGGGGAGGGGCTCGGTGCTGCTCAATTGCTCCGCACCGTGCCTGAGGTGCTCCTCAAGTTTTCGAGGGGGAGTCGAAGGTTCAGCTATGGGAAGACAGGGGCCTCTCGTTCCTTACTCAGGGTTCCTTATAGGTCAGCGCCTCGACTGCATGTTCCCTTCCGGAGGCCATCTTGGACAGCCCCGGGGCCCTGAGACGGCCCCCGAGGGCCGACATCGAGGAAGCGCCGCAAGGATCGAAAAACACACCGTCGGAGATCTCGGGGGTACGGCTCACATGTGGTCCCGGACACCTGCCTGCTCCTCCTCCTCCTCCTCTTCCTCCTCCTCCTCCCTTTCCTCCTCCTCCTCCTCCGCCTCCTCCTCTTCCTCCTCCTCCTCCCTTTCCTCCTCCTTCCTCCTCCGCCTCCCCTCCTCCTCCTCCTCCTCCTCCTCCGCCTCCTCCTCCTCCTCCTCCTCCTCCTCCTCATCCTCCTCATCCTCCCCTTCCTCCTCCTCCTCCTCCTCCTCCTCCTCCTCCTCCTCCTCAGGACCGGCTTGTCAACCGGAGTAGTCTAGAGTCGGGCAAGGCCCGTCTACAGCAGAAAGATCAAAAATAGTCAGAAATAGTCTGGGGACGATTTCGGGGGTGTTTTTCTACTATTTGGGGGTATGGGTCAAGTATTTTTGGATGATTTCGCCCAAAATCCGCCTGTAGGAGGACATGCCCGACCTAAGAGTAGTCTGTTGACGGTCCCGGGGCCCAGCGAGGGCTCCCGGAGGCCGAACGCAGGGCCAAAAAGTCCCCCGCCCGCCGTGGCCGACGCGTCGCCGATGCATCGCCGATGCGTGGGGGCTTCGTTGGCGATGCGGCGCGATCCTCCGACCATATCTTCTCGGACCCCAGCTAGGATCAGCAGAGGAAAAGGTACCCATACCCCTACTCTCGCCTCGTTTTCCCCGTTTTGGGCCTCCTCGGAGGCCCTCGTCGCCACCGCTGGATTCGCCTCGAAATCCTGGTCAGAACGCACCCCAGGAGAGGTCCGGGGAGTAGCGGTATCGGTACCTTTTATGGTTTCCCCATATCTTCTCGGACCACGGCTAGGAGGCCCCAAGAGCGTGTGGCCTAAAGACGCCTCTAAGGAGTAGCGACGGCTTCCAAGGAGCCTCCTGCCTTCTCAGAATCCCCCTCCTCGGCCCCTCAGAAGGCCCCCCCCTCGCGCGACCCGGTCGTCGTCGTCGTCGTCGTTGTCGTCGTCGCTGGCGGCATCGTCGTCGTCGTCGTCGTCGTCGTCGTCGTCGTCGTCGTCGTCGTCGTCGTCGTCGTCTCCGTCGTCATCGTCGTCGTCGTCGTCGTCGTCGTCGTCGTCGTCGTCGTCGTCATCTCCGTCGTCGTCACCTCCGTCGTCGACGTCGTCGTCGTCGTCGTTGTCGTCGTCGTCGTCGTCTCCGCTGTCGTCGTCCTCGTCCTCGTCCTCGTCCTCGTCGTCGCGTTGTCCTCGTCGTCGCCGTCAGCGCCACCCCCATGCCCACACCCCCGACGTCATGATTCTTTCATCATGTCCACCTCCAGAGGTCTCGACCCATTCCCTTGGACCAGTTCGTCATCCTGAGTCGTTTTTTGACGGCCCCGACGGCTAGTAAGGTTAAGTCGGGCATGTCCCTCTACAGGAGGAATCCTTCAAAAATCGTGACCAGATAGGCTGGGGACGAGTTCACTGCGATTTTTGACTTTCTCTGATTTTCGTGTTGACCACTTGTTATCTTTCGTCCAGACTCCGCCTGCAGGAGGAGGCCATATGCCCGACCTGGCAGCAAGCACGGGCCTCCGGAGACCGACAGCAGCAAACAGCAGAAAGAAAATAATCCCGCCATGCTTTGTCGCTGCCCGAAGGCACCTGTCCTCCACCTCCTCCTCCCTCTCCTCCTCCTCCTCCTCCTCCTCCTCCTCCTCCTCCTCCTCCTCCTCCTCCTCCTCCTCCTCCTCCTCCTCCCCCTCCTCCTCCTCCTCCTCCTCGATGGCACCTGCCCTCCACCTCCATCTTCCACACCTTCCGACCTCTGCGGCAGGCGCGGAAGGTGATGCGTTGAGGTCATGAGAAGCTCAGGAAAAAAAAAAACGCAGGAAGAAAAGCCAGCGCTTCACGCAGCGCAGGAGTGTGGAAGGTCAGCACGGAAGGTCTGGAAGAGCGACGGCCAGCCCTGGGTGGCTGCCTAGGGCGGCGGCCGGCGGATCCTCCATGGGCCCCGGCGCCGCCGCATGCCGCCGCGCGCGCGCCGGGCCTCGGCCCGGACCGTGGCCTGCCTGGCGCTGCGCGTGGCCGCCGTGCCCGCCGAGCGCCGGGGAACCGCCCGCCGTCGCCGCGCCGAGCGTCGCCTCGAGATGAAGTCGGGCCTGTCCCTCTACAGGGGGAACGTTCAAAAATAGTCAAACAAAATAGTCAGGGGGCTATTTTTTGTCACAAGGTCTGGGCGTGTTGGGGGCAGTGTTGGAGCATTTTTCATCTCTCGGCCCAAATCCCCCTGTAGGGGGGCAGGCCCGCCTTAAAGCTAAGGGGCAACGCTGCAACGGTGCCCCGCAGGGAGGCGACTATGCAGCAGAGGCCAGTTCAGTTCACAAGAAAGCTCCCACTGCACCAGAGAAGAACCCCAAGCAGTGGATGGTTTGAAAGGGGATCGAGAAAGAGGTCGATAAGGAGATCGACCGGGAACCCGGGAACTCGGGAACCCGGAACCGCCGAAATCGGCCTAGAACCGATAACCAGGAACCTGGGAGACCGGAACCGGGAACCCGGGAACCCAGCTGGCCACCAGAATCGGCGCGACATTTTCGCCAAATCTTTCAAGTTCCGTGCAAGCACTGATTGGCGATTGGGGAACAAACCCAACCTTGAGACCCCAGGACGTCCGTCGATTGTTGGTGTGGGAGCGTCGCGCTCGCCGTGGCAAAACCATCGAAACCCAAGAAACCAAGGGGGCCCTGGGTTTCTTGGGTTTCGACGGTTTTGCGACGGAGAGCGCGCTGTTCCCTCGCCAAACATGAATGGACGCCCTGGGGTCTCAGGGTTGGGTTTCTTGAGGAAGGTTTCTTGTGGACTGGCCTCCACTGCACAGTTACCCTGACTTCGGATCCGCTGTACTTTTCTGGCGTTCATAGGTCTAGGCCTGGCAGGTGGGGTCCGAGCGCAGACAGAGTCGGAGGATCGCGCCGCGTCGCCGATGCAACCCCGATGCATCGCCGATGCGGCTCGATGTGGAGCCCGAGGTTCCCCGCGCTGGCGTCGTCGATACATCGCCGATGTCGATGATACATCGCTGATGCGTCGATGATCGACGATGCGGCGCGATCCTCAGACCCTATCAACAGTAGTTTCGCGTCGTGACGACCCGTGACGACCCTGCTGCCGGCGCTCAACGTTGAAAACCGCCTGCGACCCAGACCAGAATCGGTCGATGTTGAACGACCTGACGTTTCTGAAACAGTCGACCGTTCAAGAGTGACCGATCCCCGCGGTGTCAGGAACCAACGCGGGGGTCGGCACGACACGAACCCGTGGTCCCCTGATTTCGGGTCCGCCGTATTTGGACGATTTCGCAAGTAGGCCAGAAATTTCCGCCCTATTTTTCAAGCCCCTTTCATGTCGATGTCCGCCCTACTTTGCCGTCGCTGTTTCCGCCCCACCTTTGCTCCAATTCCCGCCCTACTTTTCTGAGGCGGTCATTTCCGCCTTAGTTTTTCGCACCATGTGGGATTCATCTCCAGACCACTGCAGTGGTCGGAAAATCAACCAGAGTGCGGCGGATCCCAAGTCAGGGCATGCTATGGGGGATCCAGACCTCCCTCGCGTCGTGAGACACATGGCGAGAGATGCTCTGCTACTTTTTCGGCATCCGGTGGCCCTCGCTGGGGCCCGGTACAGTGGGGGCGCGCATCAAGAAACTTGATCCTCCTCCTCCTCCTCCTCCGCCTCCTCCTCCTCCTTCTCCTCCTCCTCCTCCTCTTCCTTCTCCTCCTGGGGACCCGCACGCTGCGCGGTGACTTTCCGCAGCCGTTGAAGGAGCTTCTGCGTTCAGGCTCGCGCGCGCGGGTCGTCAGGGTTGGGTTTCCTGCGAGGGTTTCTTGCGGCCGCGCCCGCACTGTAGCGTCAAACAATTTCTCGGGATACAAGGTTGTGGGTGGACGTCATGAAACAATCTTGGCGTCGGGGCTCTGAGGTGATAGGCCCAGGGAGGGCGTTTCGGGTTCGAGGCTCTCGGGCGCTTTCGATGGCCTTCGGCGGCTTTCCAGCCTCGGGGTGCCCTCCAGCAGATACGCCTCGCCGACAGCGCTCCGGGTGTGGAGGGATCGTCCCGAACGACCGCTGGAGGCCCGAGTTAGCCTCGAAGCCCATTGTGGATGCAGACTGGCTCAGGGGGGGTGGGGATACATCGGCCCCCAGCCGCCCACTCATCGCCGATGGGGGGCCCTGTAGCCCACCCCGCCCACGAACGTTCGGATCTGCTGTGGGGGGGCATGCCGCCTACCAATCGGCGATGTACCGCTGATTCCAGGTCGATGCTTCCCCGCCTGAGCTGATCCCCCCCCCGACGATGCCCCTCGGCACTGAACGCCGCTGCGCGGCTGGGACCTCCACGGGCCCCGCGCAGGCTTCCCAGATCTCCGACGGCACGGTGTGGAGGCCCATGCTTGGGTTTCGATGGTTTTGCGACGGGGAGCGCGACGCTCCCACACCAACAATCGATGGACGTCCTGGAGTCTCAGGGCTGGGTTTCTTGTGGAAGGTTTCTTGTATACTGGCCTCCACTGTATGGTCCGTGTCAGCCAGTGTCTTCTCTCTCGAGCTCGGCCCTTGCGGGTGCCGCTCCTGGTATCGCCGTTGCGGGCATTGTCATCGGTGGAGCTCCTGCTGGGGCCACGAAGCATGTGAGGGGCTTGCCGGAATAGGTTTGCCGGGCCGCCATGCGAGCGCTGCCACTGGGGCCTTCGGTGAAGCTCCCTATGGGACCACAAAACGTGTGAGGGGTGTGCCGGAATGGGTTTGCTGGGCCGCCATTCGAACGTTGCCATTGGGGCCTTCAGTGAAGCTCCCTAAGGGGCCACGAAACGTGGGAGGGGTGTGCCAACATGGGCTTGCTGGGCCGCCGTGCGAACGCTGCCGCTGGGGCCTTCGGTGGAGCTTCCCATGGGGCCGCGAAACGTGTGAGGGGTGTGCCACCAACATGCGTTTGCTGGGCCGCCATGCGAACGCTGCCGCTCGGGCCATCGGTTGAGCTCCCTATGGGGCCACGACACGTGTGAAGGGTGTGCCGAAATCGGTTTGCTGGGCCGCCATGCGAACGCTGCCGCTGGGGCCTTCGGTTGAGCTCCCTATGGGGTTGCGAAGCGTGTGAGGTGTGTGCCGAAATGGGTGCGGGGCCGCCATGCGAACGCTGCCACTTGGGCCTTCGGTGGAGCTCCCCTATGGGGCCACGACGCGTGCGAGGGGTGTGCTGAAATGGGTGCGGGGCACTCATGCGAACGCTGCCACTGGGTCCCTCGGTGGAGCTCCCTGTGGGCTCACGAGACATGTAAAAGGGTGTGCCGGGCGGACGTGCGGAGACTATAGCTGCGCGGAGGGGAGGAGGGAGGAGGGGGAGGGGGGCGGGAGGACGGGAGTGTGCGCGGGGCGCTGTCTCTCCAGAGCGAGGGCCCAGCACCACAGAATGGGTCGGAGAAGCATCGGTGCATACTACTTAGGTGTTCCCGTCGTGGCAGGGGTCGAGCAGTGGCGAAGCGTCCCGGCTCGCCTATAGCCCTACCAAGCAATGTTCTAGGAACCGTTTGTGGTTTCCACGAAATGTTCTTAGAACATTTCTGGTTGATATTGTTTTGTTTTAACACATCGGTTTATGTTCTAAGAACATGGTTTTTGTTCTTAGAACATGTTGGGTTCTAAGAGCATGTCGTGGTAGGACTATAGGAATGCCGGGACGGTCGGTCCCTGCTTTAAGGGGGGACTCGAGCGGGCCCCAGTGGTGGTTGTTCTGGGGGCCGCTGCGCCGATCTTCGAGAGGGGGAAGCGGAGGCACGCGGTGGAGGCAGGCAGGGCTGCGGGAGGGCAGATTGGGGGAGAGCAGGGAGGAGGAGGAGGAGGAGGAGGAGGAAGAGGACTAGGGAGGAGGAGGAGGAGTTCAGAGGAGGAGTTCAGAGGAGGAGTTCAGAGGAGGAGGAGGAGGAGGATGAGGAGGAGGAGGAGGAGGAGGAGGAGGAGGAGGAGGAGAGGGGGGGGAGAAGGAGGAGGAGGAGGAGGAGGAGGAGGAGGAGGAGGAGAAGGACCATTGTAAACACAAGAGGCATTAACGTTGTTAGAATAAGCCCTCCCTCCAAGCCCCCTCTTTACAGGCCCCATACAACGGTTCATTTTCACTAGGGGGATTGCCTCGTTGGAAGACACTTGTTTGACGACCCTGAAGCATGCCAAAACATTGTTTTCGGGATTCCAACGCCACGGATCAGCCTGACTGTTGCGTCTTAGCGATCCTGGATCGCGCCCGAACGCCATTTCTGGGATTTGAACATTTCGAATCCGCATAACTTGTACACCATCATAAGCCTGAGTCCTTCCAACACATGATTTCTGGTACGTTCATCATGGGGACCCGTGAAACTTGTGCAAACTTAAAAAGGAATGTGCGCGGCGCTAAGGTGAGAGCCACATTTTGAGAAAGGAGCCGCCCTCAATCCGTGAAACTCTTACAATGTTTAAAACGAATGTGCGCGGCGCTAAGGCGAGTGAAAAGGAACCGCTCTCAACCCGTGAAACTCATGCAAATGTTTAAAACGAATGTGCGCGGCGCCAAGGCGAGAACCACGTTTTGAAAAAGAGCCGCCCTCAATCTGTGAAGCTCTTACAATTGTTTAAAACGAATGTGCGCGGCGCCAAGACGAGAGCCACATTTTGAAAAAGAACAGCCTTCAATCCGTGAAACTCTTGCATGTTTTAAGACGAGTGCGCGCGGCGCTAAGGCGATAGCCACAGTTTGAAAACCACCCGCCCTCAAAATGACAACAGTTTGAACAACTATCGTCATGTTTAAGCTTCAGGGTCATAAGTGGCGAGGAAGTCTCAGGTGAAACGCCCGGCCCGTCCTAAACACTTGCCTCGGTATGCTACAAGGAAAAGCAACGTATGAGAAGAAGGAACGGAGGAGGAGGAGGAAGAGGAGGAGGAGGAGAAGAAGGAACGGAGGAGGAGGAGGAGGAGGAGGAGGAGGAAGAGGAGGAGGAGGAGAAGAAGGAGGAGGAGGAGGAGTTCAGAGGAGGAGGAGGAGGAGGAGGAGGAGAGGGGGGGAGAAGGAGGAGGAGGAGGAGGAGGAGAAGGAGGAGGCCTTGAAGTGATATGACTTCGGGGCGCCTTCACCCCATGGGTGGAGCCAGTGACCTGGTATTACCACCCTTTTACCACTCAAGGTCAGGACCACTTTGGGACAAAGCGAAAATCTGTCTGGAGGGCGTCCCACAAGACAACGCCAGCTTTGTCCAACAATGCTTGCCCTCCCTCGAGTGCGACAGCCCAGCATGAACGCAGCGCCCGATGGGATGGTGCAGCCAGGGCGGATAGAACCTGAAGGCCCCTATTGGTTCAAGCTGGATTGTCGGAGAGACCGAGGATATTCCACAGCAGAGAGGGAAGATAACCAGTGTTCCCCTCTGAGCAGGGGCTAACCTACTCATGCTTCGCATAGCCACTCACTGTGCCACAAGGCGGGCCTGAGGACAAGGACGAGGCCAGCGGGCCCAAACAACCCTTGTAACACTAGACCTGCCTCCCGACAGCCCGTAAGCGAAGCAACACATCCCAGTGCCGTCTATGACAACGATGTGACGATGGGCGCTCCGATGTTGTTTTCATGAGAGAGACCGTACGTCAGCCAAGAGCGGAGACAGGGAGAGATTCTTCCAGGCAGATTGCAGGGCCTACTTTAGTATTCGGGTGCTGTCCTCGAGCGAAGCGGTGCCAGGAGTGCTTCGCTCCGTTGGATGGGAAGTCTGTGAGCAGAGGAGGAGGAGGAGGAGGAGGAGGAGGAGGAGGAGGAGGAGCAGGAGCAGGAGGAGGAGGAAGAAGAGGAGGAGGAGGGGGAGGGGAAGAGGGAGAGAGAGGGGAGGGGGGGGAGCGGGAGGGGGAGGGGGAGGGGGCGGAGGAGGAGGAGGAGGAAGAGGAGGAGGAGGAGGCGGAGGCGGAGGAGGAGGAGGAGGTGGAGGAGGAGAAGGATGAGGCCTTGAAGTGATATGGTTCCGGGGCGCCTTAACTCCATGGGTGGAGCCAGTGACTTGGTATTACCACCCTTTTACCACTCAATGTCAGGACCACTGTGGGACAAAGCGAAAATCTGTCTGGAGGGCGTCCCACAAGACAACGCCAGCTTTGTCCAACAAAGCTTGCCCTCCCTCGAGTGCGACAGCCCAGCATGAACGCAGCGCCCGATGGGATGGTGCAGCCAGGGCGGATAGAACCTGAAGGCCCCTATTGGTTCAAGCTGGATTGTCGGAGAGACCGAGGATGTTCCACAGCAGAGAGGGAAGATAACCAGTGTTCCCCTCTGAGCAGGGGCTAACCTACTCATGCTTCGCATAGCCACTCACTGTGCCACAAGGCGGGCCTGAGGACAAGGACGAGGCCAGCGGGCCCAAACAACCCTTGTAACACTAGACCTGCCTCCCGACAGCCCGTAAGCGAAGCAACACATCCCAGTGCCGTCTATGACAACGATGTGACGATGGGCGCTCCGATGCTGTTTTCATGAGAGAGACCGTACGTCAGCCAAGAGCGGAGACAGGGAGAGATTCTTCCAGGCAGATTGCAGGGCCTACTTTAGTATTCGGGTGCTGTCCTCGAGCGAAGCGGTGCCAGGAGTGCTTCGCTCCGTTGGATGGGAAGTTTGTGAGCAGAGGAGGAGGAGGAGGAGGAGGAGGAGGAGGAGGAGGAGGAGGAGGAGGAGGAGGGGGGGGAGAAAAAGGAGGAGGAGGAGGAACGGAGGAGGGGAGGGGAGGGGGAGGGGGAGGGGGAGGGGAGATTCGATCTCTTTACAACCAGAACAACCACTTTACAACCAGGTGGGTTACTTTACAACCAACATAGGATTGGAAAGTATGGTTTTTCATCGAGAACGTCCACTTTGCAACCAGAACGGCCCACTTTACAACCAGAACGGACCACTTTACAACCAGAACGGCCCACTTTACAACCAGAACGGACCACTTTACAACCAGCTCAGAGTGGTCGTGCGGGTTTGGGCGTTCCGCAAAGTGCTCCAGAACAAGTGGGCGCTCTGAAAAATGCCCCAGAGCAAGTGGGCGCCCTGAAAAATGCTCCAGAGCAAGCGGGCGCTCTCAAAAGTGCTCCAGGGCGCGCGGACGCTCTGAAAAGTGCTCCAGAGCACGTGGGCGCTCTGGAGCCTGAGCGCCTGAACTCTCTGCGCAGGCCCCAGCGATGCCTCTGAGCCCGAGGACCTGGACGCTCTGGGCAGGCCCCAGCGATGCCTCGGAGCCCGAGGACCTGGGCGCTCTGCGCAGGCCCCAGCGATGCCTCTGAGCCCGAGCGCCTGGACGCTCTGAGCAGGCCCCAGCGATGCCTCTGAGCCCGAGCGCCTGGACGCTCTGGCGCTCTGAGCCCAGCAGACTAAGACAGGGCTTGCTAGCAGGGGCCAAGCGGCCTCAACAAGGGCCCCGTGCTCGCACGAGAATAAGGCGACAGCATACGTAGGAAGGCCCAGGGCGACGCGCTGCCCATTTTAGGGATCACTCACAGGAAGCGAGCCCAGTGGCCTCCACAAGGGCCCAGCGCGCCAGGGAACTAGGCCATTGGCACCGCGGGTCTCTTGGGCCACGTTGGCCCCTGAAGCCCCACGGTGTTCTGCAAGGGGCGAAGTGCTCCAGCTCCAGTTGGCCCCCTGCTGCTCCTCTTCTTGGAAGATCGAGGTTCAACGTTCCGAATAAATGCAACTATTTCGAAGATCGTTTCTTCCAGCGTCAGCCACAGTGCCAGCGCAGCAACGCAGGTATCCTGCTCGGGCAGCAGCCTCAGCCGCCGTGCCAGCGCAGCAGCCTGAGCCACCGTGACAGCGCATCACCGCCACCTTTGTGCCTGATACCACCACACTTATCGCTGCAGCCCCGCTACCTCCACAATTCCGACTGACCCCCCGCTACCACCGCAAATCCCATTGCAGCCCAGCTACCACCACAGTTCCCACAGCTGCCTGGCGACCACCACAGTTGCCACCGCAGCTCCCCAACACCATGCAGTTCCCATTGTAGCCCCCGCTACCACCACATCTCCCACTACAGCTTCCCGCTGCCATGCCGCTCCAGTCTTGGACGGGATCATGGTTTATTCGTATGTCCTGCGCGACTAGCCTTCGTCCGTCAGAAAAAGGCAGAGCAAGCAATGGAAGAACTGACCGACAGAGCTCAGAGAGCAGGTCAAAACCCTAATCCGCCCACCAGCACGCAACATTCCATAGCGCACCAGGTCGCCGCATCGCCAACGAGTGCGCAGTGCTTCTTCGTGCGCGATGGGCAACTTCACAACCAACATGCCTCAAAGAGCCCAAAGCCACCCTTGCGCTTGCCCACGGAGATTTCAGGGAAAGGCCCGCGTGCATTCAATATGTGTTTTACTTGCCTGGTTGTAAAGTGCCCTTCCTGGTTGTAAAGTGCCCTTTTCGGATTTTGCAAGCTGGTTGTAAAGTGACCCATCTGGTTGTAAAGTGCGCTTCTGGTTGTAAAGTGACCCACGCGCAGGGGGAGGGGGAGGGGGAGTGGAGGAGAAGGAGTGGAGAGGATAAGGAGTTGAGAGGAGTGGAGAGGAGTGGAGGGTGGAGGTGAGGTAGGAGGAGGGGGGGCGGAAGGGGACGTGCCTGGTCGGGACGGAGGCCGGCGTGCGGCTAAGTACTGTCCTCGAGCGAAGCGGTGCCAGGAGTGCTTCGCTCCGTTGGAGGGGAAATCTGAGCAGAGGAGGGGGAGGAGGAGGAGGAGGAGGGGGAGGAGGAGGAGAAAAGAGGAGGAGGAGGAGGGAGGAGGAGGAGGGGAGAAAGAAGGAGGAGGAGGAGGAAAGAAGGAGGAGGAGGAGGAAAGGAGGAGGAGGAGGAGGAGGAGGAGGAGGAGGAGGAGGAGGAGGAGGAGGAGGAGGAGTGGAGGAGAAGGAGTGGCGAGTATAAGGAGTTGAGAGGAGTGGAGAGGAGTGGAGAGTGGAGGTGAGGTAGGAGGAGGGGGGGCGGAAGGGGACGTGCCTGGTCGGTTCGGAGGCCGGCGTGCGGCTGGCGGTTCCCTGCCCAGCGCCACATCGCCCCGCAGCTGTCATCGGACGTTGCCCACGTGGCGATTCGGCCCGGCGGAAGGCAGTGGCTGCTGGAGGCGCCTAGTTCGTCCGCCCGCCCTGCCTTGCTCCTTGGCTCCTCTGTCAGTCTAGGGGCTCGCCGTCACCCCGCCGTGAAGCAAACACGGCGAGACAGAAACGGGTCCTCATGGTTTGGGTGCTGGGGGAAGGCCCCGGGGTCCAGGACACGATTTCCTCAGGACCCGTCTGCTTCATGCGAATCGCCGTTGCAGCTTCGGCAGCGGTGATTCGCAGGAGGCTTCGGCGTCGGCCAGGGGCGGTGTTCGGGAAGGGTTCGTTCGCAGGGACTGCTCCTGAGCGGGAGGCATCTTAGGAGCAAGAGCGCTGCCAGCGCGCGCCTGCTGTGATGCGGGGGCTGGGAGAGGGAAGCTCAAGGAGGAGGAGGAGGGGGAGGAGGAGGAGGAGGAGGAGGAAGGGAGAATGAAGAAAGGAGGTGTGTGGAAGGATGCACGAGGGAGAGAGGGGGTCTGGAGGGACGTGGAGGCGGGGGGCGGAGCCTCCGGAGAAAAAGGCATTTGGCACTGGTGAACAGTTCTGCGGGGGATCGGTTACGCATGCATGCCCTCTTCGGTCGCGATCCTCTGGGACGCGGGGGGTCGAGTTCTCTGGGGCTCAGGTGTGCAGCGCCTTCGCCAGACGCAGTGCCGCGCTTTGCGTGCAGTTTGCGCTGGGATAGCGGCGGGGGAGACTGTGCTACACGTGCTGTACAGGGGGGCCCCTGCCGCTGGTTTTGCCCGGGGGCGGAGGGGGAGGAGGACAGGAGGAGGAGGACGATGAGGAGGAAAATGGGGATGGGAGCAGGACGAGGAGAAGCAGGAGGTGGAGGAGAAAGACGATGAGGAAGAGGAGAGGAGCAAAGCGA